AAATAAATAAAAAAGGGAAGGCAATTCTGACACCTGCTGCAACATGGAGGAATCATGAGGACGTGATGCTGACGGAAGTAAGCCCGTCACAGAAGGACAAGTGCGGTATCACTGCACTTCTATGAGGTGTGTGGAGTTGTCAAAGCCACAGAGGAGAATGGTGGTTGCCAGGGACTGAGGGGAGAAGGGAATGGGGAGTTATTGTATAATGGGGACAGAGTTCCACTTCTGTCTTGTACTAGGGATTAAAACCAAGGGTGCTCTGCCACTGAGCCACATCTCAGGCCTTTTTTATTTTGTTTTGAGACAGGGTCTCACTGAGCTGCTGAGTGTCTCTCTTAAGTTGCCCAAGCTGGCCTCGAATTCATGATCCTCCTGACTCAGCCTCCTGAGTGTCTGGGGTTACAGGTGTGTGCCCCTGCACCTGGCTGAGTTCTAGTTGTGCAAGATGAAGARAGTGCTGTGTATGGCCAGTGGTGATGGGCACACAACAGTGCCGATGTACTTAATTCCACTGAACTGTACACTTAAATGGTACATTTTATGTTATACATATTGTACTACAAATTAAAAAAACAGTAATTGCTACTTGAGCAGAATGAAAAGACGGGAAGCCCCATGTGTCCAATGAGCCCCTGGGTTTCACACAAGGAGTGCACTGGGCTTCTATGCAGGTGCTGGCCTCTATAACTTCTGTCCTGGGCTCCCTAGCCAGTCCTTGCCAGTTCTCTCTGGGGGAGGTGGGGACSAAGACAGCAGATGGTCCTGTACAAGATGCTCATTTCCTGCGCGGGGTGGGGTGGGTGCTGGAGATCCTGGCTGCCTTGGCTCCCTCGGGAAGAGCCTGGACTCTTGGGGACTGTCAAGAAGGGATTAAAATAGCTCCTGTCCCGTGGGCCTGCCCCACTGGGTATCATTCTTCTGCCCTCCCTTGAGCCCCATTTTCGAAAGATTTCCCTTGTGTTGGGGACAGGACCTTTGACCTCCAGATTTGCACTCAGAAAAGGGAAATATCTGGGGCAGCTGCACATTCTAGGGATGGCCTGCAGGCAGGCTCTGTTTCAGTTCCAGCCCTTGCTTGGGTGAGCTACTGTGGGCAGCCAGCACAGGCTGGTGACTGTCCTGTGAAGTCCACACTGACCAGGGGCTCTGAGCAGATGGCTTGAAGAGAAACCCTCCCTGCTGAGCTGCAGAGTTCCCCAGCAATTTCCCAATCTGTTTGGGATTAGAAGAGGGGTGGATGGAGCAGGGGGGCCGGGTGAGTCACGAGGGGATTGCACAATGAGTGAGCCACAGGCTGCAGGGAGGCAATGGCCAGGGACCCTTGTTCTCATCCTCTTTGTCCCCTATCTGGTTGGCTTTAGTCTCCCCATCTGTGTACTATAGCGGGGATGGGATGACCCCCCGCCTGAGCACTGTGGCTCTGTGAGCTCCTCTGAAAAATGTCATTCCTGGAGGCCTCTGGGAGAGGGGGTGGACTCTCTCTGCCTTAAAGCTTCCTCCTGGCAGCCTCTTGCACCCACCTCTGAGACACCCTAGGGAAAGATGGATGACAGTCCAAGCCCAAACCTGGCACTTGGCCACCACTCCTGAGGAAAAAGTTCTCAGCCCCAAGGGACACCTTCAAAACCCAGTCTCCCCCACTTAGTCACCCCTCCTGGCCCTCAAAGACCAGTGCCAGGCTAGCAGGCAGTGGGCGTGGGGGTGTGTGGGGTGTGTGGGGTGGGGTATGGGGATGGTGTGGAGTGTGGGGGGTGTGGGGGGGTGGGGCAACAAAAGGCAGGGAGGAGCCCAGGCTCCACTCTCAGCAAAAGGGAAGCTGGTGCCCAGCAGGAAATTCCTGAATGACAGGATCCTTCCAGAGAGCAGGACTCCCTGGGATGTGAAATAGGAAGGGGAGGGAGGTGCCCAGGGGTCAACTTTTTATCCCAGCCCACCCATTCTCCTCACCWCCCCCTCCCCCAAAACACACCCTGAGAACCAGGGAGCAGACAGGGAAACTGACACCCAGAAAGAGGTATGGCCTGCCCGAGACCGCGCTGAAACGGCAAAGCTGAGCCTGCCGCCTGGGCCTTGTGCTCCTGAGCCTGCCTGGCCTCAGGAGCCTGTCCTGCCCAGTCTTAGCCCCAGAAAGGGACAGTGCTTCAGTCGGTGTCCTGCAGGCCTAGAGGTGAAATCAGACTGCCACTGTCATGTATTCCTGCCTCTCATGTATTCACCTTTCCGGGGACAGGGGACATCATCACTTAAAGCCAGGCGTGACCATGAGAGGCCAGGAGATGCTCCCAGCTCGGGGCCTTGTGGAGAGCGGCCCCTCTCCCCTTCGCGCCTCCTCCAGGAAGCCCTCTCCCATGACTCTACTCGCCACAGGGTGCCCAGAGGGGCGACCTGGCGAGGCTGGGCATTGGGGTGAGAGGGCGCGCAGGTCAGGCAGGGCTGTGGCTGGCTGGGACGCGGGGGCGCGGCCCTGGGCGCAGGCCCCTCCCAGACAGCCAATCAGAGGCCGTCGTCGGACAATGGCCCGGCGCCCGGTGGGTCGGGGGCCCCCCGGGGAGCCGTTCGGCGCCCCCCACTTACCCCGCCACGCTCTGCAGCGTCGCCAGCCCGTCCTGGCTGCTGGAGCAGTGACCCCGCCCTCGCTCCCCTGGGCAGGCCCGCGCAGGGACGAGCCCTCGCCGCGCGGGGTCTTGGCCTCGGCCCGCGGGTTTTCCGCGGTCGCGGAGGGCGGGGCCGGGGCGGAGTCGGCGACTATTTCAGGCTGCGCGGCGCCGGGGCCAGTACAGCCGCGGCCTGGCCCGGACACGGTAAGTGACCTCCGCCGCCTGGCGTCTTTCCCCGCTCCGCCGGCGTCCCGTTCTCTCTGACCCCGAGACCGCGGCAGGATTCCCCCAAGGAATGGCCTGGAGTGGCTGAGGGGACACGGGCGGGAACGCTATAAAGGCTTCTGGCTGGGGACACCAAGACCTGTGCGCTTGCTGAGCGTCTGCGCACCAGGGCACAGAGGTTTGGGGCTGAGGTTGGGGCGCTAGACCCAGAGCTCGGTCCCTGGAAAGACTGGTCGGGACTGGGGAAAAAGATACAAAGTCTCCCATTTGTAGTTGAAGGCCAGCGTCCCCACGGGACTCCAGGGCTATAGGTTAAGACCCTCCCTGACTGTGTCTGGGCATCTTCATCTGGGGGTGGGTGTGCCGTTTGTCCTATCACCCCAGGACAGAATGAGGCAGGCCAGAGACCAGGGGAGGCTTTGTATGGCCCTCAGCCCTGACCCAAGAAGGGGTATGGTGTCTGGGATTGCAGGTACCACTGCTGAACCACAGGCACCATGTGCCTTTAAACAGGCACCTTTCTGCCTCAGTGGGTGCAGCCAGGAGCCTGGTGTAAAGAAGGTCTCCTCCCCTCCTAGGCTGCACGGTGTGGCACTACACACACAGGACACAGGAAACTCACTCTCACGCAGGCCAAACCAAGTGCCAGCACTTGGCTTGTGGTTTTACCACATCCTCTCAGCAGCACTGTGAGGTGTGAGGGTCTCTTCCCCATTGCACAGATGGAGAAATTAAGGTTTTTCTGAGAAGAGGAGTGTCCCGTCCACACACCAGTGAGAGGTGAAGCTGAGCCCACCGCCAGTTCTTTTTCTACTGCATCAGCTGCCTTTGAGAATCAAGGTCCAGGCACTGCTGCTGGATCTCTGCCACAAAGCAGAAAAGGCCTGGACACTCTGTGGGGACTTGCAGGAACCAAGCTTGGAGGTCGCATAGAGCCAAATAGTGAGAAGCTGTGTACAATTGGAAGATGTGGGACAGGTCACCTCTCCCTTACCCCAGGAGGAGGGCAGGGGTGCCTAGGCCCCCAGGGTGGGGCGGAGTAGCCCTGCCTGTCAGATTACCTCCTCTGGGTGCTTGGCATGAGAATGGGATGGATTAGGAGGGGCAGAATACCTGGTGGCTTTGAGCCTGGGGAGTTTGGTTGGCTTGGGATCCCCCATAGTACTCTCTGCTTGGTTCTGGAACTCTCAGGCTGACAGGGTTCCAGGAGGACAGCTGAGGTCCAGACTGAGGGACTCTACCAAAGCAGTAGGTAAGGATGGTAGGGGCTGGGAAGGGGGAACGCAGGCTTCCTGGTCAACCAGATGSCTCTGGTCAAGCTCCAAAGTGTGGGACAAGCCCTCAGGAAATAGGGTAGCTGGGCTGGTGAAGGCAGAGGGCTGAGGCGAGAGGACTGCTCCAGTGTTCCACACAGGCTATGCTTTGGGCAAGTCCCTTGCATGTGTAGCCGCAATGGCTTCTTCAGAAGCGTGGATCAGGCTATTTGCTGTTGCAGGCTACCCAGAGTCATCCTGATGAATGTGAGGTATGGCTCAATGTATTTATTCTTGAGGGTAGGGCAGGAGGTAGCACTGTGTATGGGTTACACAGTTACCACGGAGGCCCAGCCTCTGCTCCTGCCCTCAGGGTCAACCATAGATCCCTCTGGTGGTACCAGCCTTGCTCTAACAATGCTGAGGGTYCTGCCTCTCTGGGTGCAGCTTTCAGGGCAGTGGGGGGTGCAGAGGTAGAGGAAAARCCAGGCTCTGGAACAGATGACCTGAGTTCCAAACCCACAGGGCTTGACCACAGGGCTATTTTAAGATTAAATAGCATGGCTTCTGGATGAGAGAGGAAAAGATGGGATGGGCACCCAGGAAGGGCACAGAAACTGGAAATTTTTTGATGATGATGTCAACCCATTTGGGAGCAGGCAGGGTGGGGAAGGAGWCAGGATGCCTAGGTTCCAGACAGAGTTGCTGTGTGACTTCAGGGAAATCTGTGCCTGGATCAGCCCCTTTCCCCTGTGGAAGGGGCTTCCCTTCTGAAGTTTGAGGGGCCTTATGTCTTCTGCAGACCTGGGCCCTGGGGTCAGTATATGTACAGAATCAGGATTCGCTCTCCTTCAGCCAACTGTGCTTCTGTCCTTGGCATCTTTCTGTGACCCCACAGCCACATAAGAACTGGGCAAGAAGAATGAGCAGCTGGGGCTAGGTAGGGGAGGCCTGGCTTCAGGCTGGCTTCTGGGTATTCTCTGACCCTGACATGGCCCTGGCCATTCTGACCTGTGTTTTTGCTCTGTCCAAAGGGACAGCAGCCTGTGCCCTGCCCCCTCTCTAGAGTCTGGTGGGATTCATAGAGGTACTCTCTAGCTGCCATCCATTTTTCCCAAGAGGGTGGACTGTAAAATGCAGGAACAGCCCCTTCATCTGGGAGGCTTCTTGTCCCCAGCCTCTTTTCCTGCCTCTGCAGCGATTCTGGGAGGGCCTGTGGGTATTAGGAGAGATGCAAGATAAAGCTCTTGTGGCTAGGGAGGGAGCCTTGTTGGTGCTCTTCTGGGCCAAGGGGTTTCCAGGGCCCTGTTGCTTGTACAGGTGAGAACAGAGGAGGCACTCAGTGCTGCCATTGGGCTGTGTGCTCATGCCTGGGGCCCAGCCCACTGTGACCACTGGCTCCTCATCCCCTACCCGCAACCTGCAGGACTGAGCCAGGGTGATGCTGAAGATGATGACATTCTTCCAAGGCCTTCCTGGCCAGCAGTCTGTGCCAGGGACTCTCAATTTTTCTGGAAGCCCACAAAAGTTGCCCTCCATATCAGAGAGTGAATCAGAGGCCTCCATGTCAGAGGCCTCCTCTGAGGATCTGGTGCCACCTCCTGAGGCTGTGGTAGCTCCAGATCAGGAGCAGCAAGAGGCTGCAAAGAAGAAGAAGCCTACAGTACTGTCCAATATGTTCAGCATCTTCACCAAAGGCAAGAAGAAGAGAGGTCAGCCCAGCTTGGTTGAGCCCCCGCTGGTACCTGAGTCCAAGCCAGGGCTGGATGGCCCTATCCCCACAGGTAGGTTGGGACTACTGCTGGGGCTGGAGGCCTGCCTAGCGCTGGTCCAGGCCTGGGCATGGATGGGGCATGGGAGCGAAGGGGCCCTCACCCAGGACAGAGCGGGCAGGGAGTTGTCCATCTTCCTCCTTCACCTGTGCCCCTGGTCTTGGGGCCCCGAGTGGGGAGGAATCCTGTCTGGGCACTGGCCTTACCCCTGGGGACTCAGCCGCCCCTTGCCCCAATCGGCTTGAAGCCCCGGGCCCTGCCTCACGCGGGTCCCCTCTGCAGTGGAGGAGCTCAAGGCGGCCCTGGAGCAAGGGCGGCTGGAGGCAGCGCGGCCGTTGCTGATGCTGGAGCAGGAGCTGGCAGCGGCGGCGGCGGGGGGCGCGAGCGAGGAGGAACTGGTGAGGCGCCAGAGCAAGGTGGAGGCACTGTACGTTCTACTGCGGGACCAGGTGCTGGGTGTGCTGCGGCGGCCGCTGGAGGCGGCTCCCGAGCGGCTGCGCCAGGCGCTGGCAGTAGTGGCGGAGCAGGAGCGTGAGGACCGCCAGGCAGTGGCGGCAGCGGCGACGGCGGAGGCGCCTGGAGCGGCAGCGCTGGCGGCCACGCGCCCACGGCGCTGGCTGCAGCTGTGGCGGAGCGTCGTGGCGGAGGTGGCGGCAGAGCGCCTAGACACACGGCCGGCCGCCGGCGCCGAGGGCCGCTCAGAGGCCGAGAGCATCTTCCAGCACTTGGGCTGCACCGTGAAGGAGGACCTGGAGGCCGTGGTGGAGCGGCTGAAGCCGCTGTTCCCCGCCGAGTTCGGCGTGGTGGCCACCTATGCTGAGAGCTACCACCAGCACTTCGCGGCCCATCTGGCCTCCATGGCTCAGTTCGAGCTCTGCGAGCGTGACACCTACTTGCTGCTGCTCTGGGTGCAGAACCTCTACCCCAAGTGAGCAGGCACGGGTGGTGGGGCGGGGGTCCCTGTGCAGGAGGGGTTGGGAGGAGCGCCCGCAGAGTTGCTGGGCTGGAAATGCACAGTGGGTTGTGCGCAAAGGGCTGAGGCTGAGCCTCCAGGGACTGGGCATAGTGACTAGGCAGGCTCTAGGCCTGAGTCTGCTTTGCACTTGAAATCTTAAAATTTCCTGGGCCCCAGTCACATTCTCAGTTGAGGAAACTGAGGCACAGAGAATGGTAGCGATTTGTCATTCATTCATGAAATCCCAGTCTGGAGAGGGGTAAAGCAGAGCAGGAAGGGATGTGGCAGGGGTGACCAGGCACAGGGGAAGCCAGGCCTGGAGGAGCAAGGGACCTCCAGGTCTCTAAGGCAGCACCTCTAGCTGCTCTAAGCCAGCTCACAGCCAAATGTAGAGTCAGGCCACAGAGGACAGGGAGGATACCTGGACAGGTGGTGAAGAAGGGAGGAGGGAGGAYGCCGTTCCTGCCAAAGGCAGGGTCACCCTGGGAGCTAAAGCAGAGCTCCTGTGTAGATTTATCTAGCATGCTGTAGGGGCAACCCTGGGCAAGAGAGCTAGCAGGGGTCAGGTAGGGCCAGGTGCCCTGTGGAAGAGATCTCTGTTGTGCAGGTTTGCCTATGAGCCTACAACAGGTCCAGGTTCTGGTCACCAAGGGCTTCAGCTCTTCAGTGGGAGGCTGGCTGTGCCAACAAGGGCAGCTGGTACCCAGCTGGATGTAGCCTTGGGCATCCTCTGAATGGCTCAGACCCTGGATTCCTGAGTGTGCCTGTCATTCACCCAAGCTTCTGAGGAGAGCCTCATATTGTAGCATAGAAATGCCCAGGCAATGGAAACCAGGGGTTCTTACTGAGGGTCTCAGCTCCCGCTGTCCCCTGTCCTGAGGGAAGGCTGGGGTGTAGACAGTGTGGACAGTGTCTGAGGGTCTTGTGGACTGCCAAGTGGCCAGTAGGCTCTGTTAGTGTTGATGGTCCACCTGGGGGGAGGGCCAGAGGAAAGGCGCAGTGGAGTGGCAGGTGAGGAGCCAGCAAGGCATGGGGAAATGGGCACAGGGCGGGGCTGGGGATGTGGCTCAAGCGGTAGCGTGCTCGCCTGGCATGTGTGCGGCCCGGGTTCGATCCTCAGCACCACATACMAACAAAGATGTTGTGTCTGCCAAAAAACTAAAAAATAAATATTAAAATTTAAAAAAAAAAGAAATGGGCACAGGGCAGGTTTGCCACAGAGCACCCAGCCCTGCCTGAGCCAGTTCCTGCTGGCTTGTCCTGACTCATCAGGAAATGTTGGGCACTCACACCTCTGCTGGTCAGCTTTCCTGTCCCAGTGACCCTGAGATCTCCTAGCATGAGGGCCCCTATGGGGTTAGCAAAACAGGAACTGAGACAAGTGTGGGCATTGAGTCCAGAGGGGCACTGTTGAGGCCTGTGTGGCCAGACATGTGGGGAAGAGAGGGACACAGATGCATCCAGACTGGGCAGGGGGCACAGGGAGAGTCATTCTTAAGCTTTTGGGGCCCTTAGGAAGTGCCAGGGCTGCACAGGTCCCCCAGGAGCTCTGGGATCCTGTAGAGGTGCCAAGAGAGGTAGCCACATGCCTCCATGGAGCAGTTCTGAGGCAGTCCTCCCATGTGGATTGGCCCTTGTCTGGGGGCAGCAGGGCTGCCCTGGCAGGGGTGGCAGGCTGGGTCACAGTGAGAGGGAGGGGTATATCTCAGGGGCACTGAAGTAAGGGGCTGGGTTGTATCTGTGCAAGAGAGGAAGCCTTGGAGAGGGGGAAGATCAGATTTGAAAGGCGGCTCTCGGTGGGGAGGCATTGCTGGGCCCTGGGGGGAAGCAGGGAGATGGGAGGAGACTCCGTTAGCTAGAGGAGAGATGTTGGTAACTGGCAGGGGCTGGGGCAATGTTTCAGGCTGACAGACTCTGGAGACTGTTTCAAAGCAGGAATGCAGGAGGGTAGTAAGAGAAGGCACGGTGGTGGGGAGTGCCGAGGGGTGGCACCTGGTGGGCTTTTGCTGGGTGGGTACTGCCGAGTAGGTGCAGTTCTCATGCCAGCCTTGTTCTGCCCACAGTGACATCCTCAATAGCCCCAAGCTGGCAGAGGAGCTTCAGGATGTCAGTCTTGGGAGCCTTCTGCCCCCAAAGCAGATTCGGCTGCTGGAGGCCACGTTCCTGTCCAGCGAGGCTGTGAGTCCTTTGTCTGAGCCAGGGTGGGGTGGGGACAAAAAATGAGGGGAGGCTCAGAGATAGACAACACGGGCAGCGAGCGTGACAGATACTTCCAGGTGAGCCAGGTCAGTGCTACAGTGACCTGCCCCTCTTTCCTCCAGGCTAATGTGAAGGAGCTGATGGCCCGAGCATTAGAGATGGAGTCACAGCACTGGGCCCAGGATGTGGCTCCCCTTAGGCTGGATGGTCACTGCCATAGTGAGCTGGCCATCGACATTATCCAGGTACCATGGTCTGTCCTTCGGGTATACGGTGCACATTGCAYACACCCAGCCTGTGCCTGTGCCAGCAGAACCACGTCCCCTTGTTCCTTGTGCAGGCACGGGCCCATGTCTGAGTACCCCCCTTGCTCTAGCATGCTCCCACAGGTGGCCCCTGCTCTGCTCACCTACTGTCACCCCACAGATTGTCTCCCAGGGCCAGGCCAAGGCCGAAAACATCACTCCTGACTTGGGCACACAGATGAAGCAGGTGCTGCTGGTGGAACTGTCYGCGCTCCTAAGGAGGTGGGTGTGCCCCAGCTGGCATGGAGTGGGCAGGGGCGTCCCTGTAGCTGTCTCTCTCAGAATCGTGTCCCTCCCTGAGCTCCTGTGGGAATCCAGGCAAGATCAGCCCTGCTCCCCGCCCCTGTCACTCAGAGCTGGGAATCCTCTGACCTCTGCTCTATCCCCTAGGCACTGAGCCTCAGGTGGTGTGACCTCAACCTGGATTCACTGTGGTGCTTCTTATCTCTGCCCACAAACTCAAAGCAGAGCAGTCTCCAGCTTCCAAGGGCACGCTCATGAGGAGCCTAGGCCCCTGCCACCTCTTCCACTCCCAGGATTAACTTGGGTGCTCCCCACCTCTGAGGAGCCAACTAGAGTGTCTTCTCGTCACCCAGCTCTAGAGGGGGCCTGGGGAGGAGTTGGGACAGCAGAGCCCTGGGGCAACCTCTCTGGCCCCTCTGGCCTTAGCTTATACAGCCAGTGATAGGATGCTTAGGGGCTGGCGGCCCCTCCCTGGGTCACAGAGAGACAATCACACAGAAAAGTGCTGTGTGAACCCGGGAGACTGCAGCGGGCTGGAGGCTGCTGTGGCCCTGGTGTTCATGCTGGTCCTAAAGATGCCCCTCTGTTCCTGACAGCTACCAGCGTGCCTTTGATGAATTTCTGGAAAGAGGCAAACAGCTGAGGAATTACAGGGCCAACATCATTGCCAACATCAACAACTGCCTGTCCTTCCGGTGAGGATGCTGGGAGGGTTATGTGGCACAGAAACAGGGTAGCTGAGATTCAGAGGGCGTAGGAACTGCTTAAGCAAATGTGTGGAATTAAAGTTAGCAAGGCCTTGGGAACCAGGGTGTGGAGCAGCCGCGGTGTTTGGCTTCATTCAGATGCTTTACTGGCTGCTTTATTCTCGTGATGCTATGGAGGGGCACAGGGATCATGCCTGCTGGGCAGGTAGCAAACCGAGGGGAGGAGAGGCTGAGTAACTTGCCCCAGGTGAAAAGGGATGCGCTGCAGGTGTGTGCTGGGATATGGGCACGTGGATGGGAGGATTTGGACTTGACCCCTCAGGAAATGGGGAGCCATTGAGGGTCTGAAAGTGAAAAGAAGGTTTAGGAAGATTCATCTAGGCTCACTGGGGGTGGGGCTGTAGGCTGGGTAGTCTGGGGTGACTTCCTGTCTCCACCATCCAGGACATCCATGGAGCAGAAGTGGCAGATACTACAGGATCCCCGAAGCTACCTGCTGGACCCCCTGAGTGAACTCAAGGTTCACGGCTTTGACGCCCTGCTCCAAAACCTATTTGTGGACTTGAAGGTAGTGGGAGCCTTTTCCCCTGTGGAGCCTCCTAAGCCCAGTGCTGGGAGGGCGGGCGGGCCTGGGAGGGGCTTGGGAGGAATGGCAGAAGCACCCCAGGTGTGGCGCCTGCCCCAGATCTCTGGGAGGAACGTGTAGGGAAGCTGCAGTGGGGCAGGGGGTGCCCAGGTGGTGGGGCCCCAGAGGGCTCTTGGACTCACCCACCTGGTGGTCCTGGTGCTTGTCCTGAGAGTGGGGCCCTAGGGCTGGGGGTGCCTGAAGAAGCCTCAGTGTCCCTCCTTACGTGGCCTCCGCTGTCCCCAAGTTAGTACATACTTTCCCTTAATCTCCCCCAGGTTCTTCCCTCCCAACCCCCACGCCTGCCTTCCAACTTCTGGTGCTCAGGGTCTTTGGCAGCCAAGACCCCGTCTCCTGGAGGCCAAGAAGTCTGCAGAGGGGGAAAGCCGTGGGGTTGCTTGAAAGACAGAGGGAGGGGTTCCCTGCCCAGAGTCTGGGACTGGAGGCTGGGGCAGCTGTGGATGATAAAAGTTGTGGGTGGTGACCCTGAGTGACTTGGCACAGGTCTCACAGGCCCAGCCAAACACAAGGTATTGTTTATGCAGGAATTTATTTATATAAGAAGGAGACAGTGGAAAAGTCCCAGGGCCAGCAGACAGGCTGTCCAGGTCCTGAGCTGCAGCTGGGTGACCTTGGAGGAGGGCACACAGACCCTGCCTCCACTTCCTGTCTGGGACCTGAGCTCTGCACGGGTTCCCTGGAAATCCTTGAGTCCCTTGCCCTCCGGCCAGTCTGTGTGAGGGCGTCTGAGCCCTTCCTTTACAGGGTGTGACCAGACATCCTGCCTCTCTCCTTCTCAGCCGCTGTTCAAGAGGTTCACACAGACCCGCTGGGCAGCGCCAGAGGAAACCCTAGAGGAAATTATTGGCACCGTGGAGGGAAGGCTGCCTGAGTTCTCAGAGCTGCATGACTGTTTCCGGGAGGTGAGGAGGCCCTGGGCTGGTAGTAGCCTGGACACTCATGCTAACACATGCGTGGACATCCACACATGCTCACACACACACACACACACACACACACACACACACGTGGGAACAGGGGCACACATGTGCACGCCTTTGCTTTGGCATCTGCCCTCTGGATTCCTGAGCTTCAAGGGAGGTAATGAGCTCCCCGTTGCCCGTTGGCTCACACCGCCCTGGCTGCTTGCCCACCCAGGAGCTCCTGGAGGCTGTGCACCTGCACCTGGTGAAAGAGTACATCATCCGCCTCAGCAAGCGGCGCCTGGTCCTCAAGACTGCCGAGCAGCAGCAGCAGCTGGCGAGGCACATCCTGGCCAACGCCAGTGTCATCCAGGACTTCTGCACTAAGAACGTGAGCCCCTGCCCACTCTCCCCAGGCCCCAAGGGATGGGCCCCAGCCCCTCAGGTCCAGGGCAGCACTTAGGAGCCTCTCTGAACCTGATAGTTACTGCCTRAGCACTGGGTACCAAATGCCTGTGAGGACAGGGGCACTCAACCAGGCCTGTGCCCACAGGGCTCCACCGCAACGTGGCTGAATCCTGCCCTCCCCACGCTCGCTGAGATCATTCGCCTGCAAGACCCTAGTGCCATCAAGATTGAGGTGGCAACATATGCTACCTGGTACCCTGACTTCAGGTGAGAACAAGGGACCCTCAGGATCTAAGCAGAGCGTGTGGCCCTGACAGGTCCTACTGTGGAGTCCACCTCTCCAGGACCTGTGCAGCACAATTGCCGAGGCTTCACTGAGATGCATGTGGTGGTGTCCACCTGTGCAGGCACAGACTAGGCTGGGGACTCATGTGTTTGGTCCTCACTGCAACCCTACAGGGTGGCACTGCTTATCTCCATTATACAGCTGGGGCCTGGAGAGCGAAGGAATGTGTCCAGGGTGACATGGCTAAGATGACAAAGCCAGACAGGAGCTCCACTGCCCATGCTTTTAGCTTTGCTTAAGACTGCCACCCAGAGGGGAAGCAGACCAGAGAGATCAGATTTTACCACTTGGCCCACAAGTCCCTGGGGGCTTGGACCTGTGCCTGGGCTCCAGGGCTCTTGTCAGGATGGAGGCTTAGTCCCTGGCTTCCTGAGGGCCAGTGAGCCATGGACGTTGTTCTTTCTGGACTGGGTCCTCTGACACAGTAGGGAGAGTTTGAATAGACTTTAACTGGGATCAACTTGCTTAGCCTAGTCTAGCCCATGGCTGATTCACAGTACTCATCCATTCATCTGTCTACTCATATGAGAACCCATCCAACCATCTACTCATCTGCCTGCCTATCCACCTGTCTACCTATCCATCAGTCCTTCTAGCCATCCATCTATCCATATCCATCCATTCATCCATCCAACTATCCTTTCACCTGTCCATCTACCTCCTTATCCACCCACCCACTCACCTACCCACTCATCCATCCATCCATCCATCCATCCATCCATCCATCCATCCATCCATCCATCTATCCATCCATCCATCTATCCATCCATCCTTCCATCTATCCTTCCACCTGCCCATTCATTCCATTACCTACCCACTCACTTACCCACCCACTCATCCATCCATCCTTCCACCTGTCCATCCACTCCCTTATCCACCCACCTACTCACCTACCCACTCATCCATCCATCCCTTCATTCATTCATCCTTCCATCGTCCTTCCATCTGCCCATGCACTCCCTTACCCACCCACCAATCCGTGCTCCCATCCACCCACTTTCCCATCTACCTATCCATTCTTTTGCTCATCCCCCCCAAAATTCTTCAGCAGTCTGCTGGGTGCCAGGCTCTGGATGCGTACAGTGAATCAGCCATGGGCTAGACTAGGCTAAGCTAGGTTGACCCCATTAAGGCCTGTTCAAACTGTTAAGGCACTGGGGTGCAGGGAAGTATAAGACGGGCTGCCTCAGTCCTACCAAAGGTTGCTTGCGTACCGTGGAGCCAGGGGCCATGAAGAGGCAAAGAACTATGACAGTCCTGAGTTGTAGAGTTTAACCAAGAGCATGAGAAATAGGGGGTGCTGACTTCAGAGATGAGGAAACTTGGAGGAAGTGAGGTTTCAGCTGAGACCTAGAGAGTGGGAAGGAGCTGGTCACCTCCAGAGGGTGAGGAAGAGCCGGTACAGAGGCCTGGCTGGAGGGCAGTGGGGAGGGGGAGTGGTGGGCACCAGTGGGCAGAGGGTTGGCTGCAGGGCTCTGTGGCAGGGCCTAGAGTCTGTGGGACCAGGAGGGTGTGAACAGGGGTGTTGGAGACAGGTTAGGCTGACGGGATGTTCTCCTTGCCAGCAAAGGCCACCTGAATGCCATTCTGGCCATCAAGGGGAACCTAACAAACAGTGAAGTCAAGAGCATCCGGAACATCCTGGACATCAACACGGGGGCACAGCAGCCCTCTAGGTCCCTATTTTCACTTATAAAGGTTGGTTAGCTTTTCCTGACCTGCTTGTGACCACCCAGGGAGCACCAGGCACCACCCCATTTGGTGAAAGCTGCCCCACTGGGGGCTGTTCAGACCAGCACTGGCTCCATGACCCTCCTGTGCCTCTCACATGCTGCTGCTGCATTTGCCTGGTCCTGACTTTGAATAGGACCTGGGCAGCTGGAATTAGATGGACCCCACTTTGTTGGCATGTCCAGTGTGGCAGGAGCATCCACTGTGGGAGATGATGGCAGCACCTAAGAAACTCTTTGTAAATGTGGTTGATTGTGTGTGTGCCAAGGGAGGCCGGTGATGGAGTGGCCAGGGCCAGGGATCCTGGGCATGCCCAGCCAGGGTCCTCCTACAGCCTGTCTCCTGACATTCCTCCACATGGTGGGCCTGAGTGCCTCTTCCAGTTCCCTAGGGCCAGGGGCAGAGCCTTACTCGACCTGCTTCCTTCAGCCCACGGCTGCCATGAGCTGGGCTAAGCAAGACTGAAATTGAAGATGGAACTGGAAGAGAAAGGTGCATTTTTACATGGTGCCCCTGATGGGGCCCGAGGGGTTCCCTGGTGAGTTGGGGTAGAGGTAGCATGAGAGCCCACTTCCAGAGCGCCCTGCAGTCCCCAAGGGTTTCTCCTGCAGCGGGGCCAAGGACCTCCTGGGTCCTCTCAGGTCCTCCTTGCCCTGTGCAAGGCCAGGCCCCAGGACAGTCTGTGAGCCCTCCCATCTGGAAGCCGGCCGAGGAGCCAGCAAGGCGAGCTCTTTTGGTCTCCTGTTGCTGTGGTAACGAGTTCCTGCACTCAGTGGAGCAGAACCAGAGTTCAAGTTCTGTAAATCAGAAGCCTGACGCAGGGCAGAATTCAGCTGCCACCTTCATTCTGGGGACTCTGGGGAGAGTCAGCTGCTGGCCCTTTCCTGTTTTTAGAGGCCACCCACATTTCTTGCCTTGTGGTTCCTCCACCTTCAGAACCAGCAATGGCTGGCTGGTTGGGTCCTTTTCACATCCACACACTGTGACCTCTTCTGCCTCCTTCTTCACTTTTGAGGACCCTTGTGATTACATGGAGCCCAGCTAGAGGATCCGAGATCACCTCCCTATTTTAAGGCCAGCTAAATAACAACCTCAACTGCATCTGCRATTTTAGTTCCCATTTGCCATGTCACCTAACAGCCACAGTTCTGGACATTAGGACATGGCTACCTTTGGGGCCATTATTCTGCCCAGATGGCCTCCACCCCTCCCCCGCCATGTAGGGGCACCTCTTCTCCCCCAGGGAAACGGGAATCCAGCTTCCCTTCGAGGTCTCTGCTGCCCCAAAGGCCCTGCCCCTCTTTGTGCCTGAAAGTTCCCCCTCAGCACAGAGGGGGCCGTTCAGACCCAGCTCTGACCCAGCTCTGACCCAGCTGGGGGGAGCCAGCTCTCTGGGTTTGTCCCCTCCTCACAGGTACTGCCTTACTGAACTGGCCGCCAACTGGCGGGTGTGAATCATGCACAAAAATCTTAGGAATTAGTTTGTTTGATATTGTTGATATTATTATTATTTTTGATAGTACTTCTTTTGTATATCTGTACTCTGGACAGGATGTTTTTATAGCTTGATATTAAACTGATTTCAAAAGTGGCTGTGGATAGTGGCTTATTTGGGGAGCTGCACAGTTGGGGTGGGGATGGGGTCATCCTTAGCCACTTTCTCTGCCCTCAGAGTGCCTAGAACAGAGCCTGGCGCCCAGCAGACTGCTGAAGAATTGTTGGGGGGATGAGCAAAAGGATGGATAGGTAGATGGGCAGGTGGGTGGATGGGAGAACGGATGGGTGGGTGGGTGAGGGAGTGTGTGGGCAGGTGGAAGGACAGAGGGAAGGATGGATGGATAAGTGGGTGGATAAGGGATTGCATGGGCAGGTGGAAGGACGATGGCTGGCTGGACGATGAATGAGTGGGTGGGTGGATCAGGGAGTGGAGTCACCCCAGGTGTAAAGAGAGCATTAGAGGGGGTTGAAGAGGAGTTTGGTGCTGATGTGGAACTTTGAAAGACCTTCAGGCTGCTGCATTGAGAACAGATCCGAGGAGAGGCCTGGAAATACCATAAGGGGCACTGCATTCCTGGGGAGAGATGATGGCATTAGTGAGGGTGTGACAGTGGAGTGAGGATGAGTGGGCTCTGCAGCAGAACAAGTCATCATGCTGTCCAGAGAGCCTTGCTGTGCCTGGGGCCAGTGGTGCATCTTCCAGAGAGGAGTAAGGCCTGGGAGAGGGGAGAGGCCCTGGGAGAGGAAGAGGGCCGAGCGGAGTTTGATAAGCTTACAGAGAAGGGAGTGTGGCTCTCAGATTGAGCAAGACCAGGTGACAACCTGAATTGGCTTCCAGCTCTCTCACGCTGCTCTGGGAGAATAGTTTTGCACAGCCCTGTGGAAGAGGTGGGCAACATGGGCCAAGCAGGCAAATGCACACACCGGTGAGGCGGCCATTCCCCTTTTAGAAGTTATCTTATCCATAYTTTAACATCCATGCAAAATGATGGAGGTACCAGGACAGTCACCTCAATTGTAGCAGCAAAGTATTGGAAACTCCCTAAATACCCATCAGTAGACACCAAGAGAATGACGGAGGGAAGGTGGACAAGGGAGGGCTGTGCAGTCATAAAAAAATGAGGAAACAGAACTTCTGTTTTGATTTGAGAATTCAGAACATATAATGTTGGGGGGTAGAAGCTCTGAAGATCAGACTTTGTGAATTTCTGTCTTTAAGTAAATGAAAACAATATATATGTATACATATATATGCATATGTATAAATGAAATGATGAAATAGAATGTATGTATATGTGTATCACACACAAACAAACACACACACACACACACACACACACACACACACACATTGTACTTGCCTGTGTGTGCTTTAAGGCAATCTAAAAGAATATACCAGGAAGGCTGGGTGGGATGGTGCACAACTGTAATCCCAACAGCTCGGGAGGCTGGGACAGGAGGATTAAAATTTCAAGGCCAGCCTCAGCAACTTAGTAAATGAAAACAATATATATGTATACATATATACAGGAGACCTTGTTTCTAAATAAATATAAATTAGGGGGGCTGGGGATGTGGCTCAAGCGGTAGCGSGCTCGCCTAGCATTCGTGCGGCCCGGGTTCGATCCTCAGCACCACATACCAACAAAGATGTTGTGTCCGTCGATTACTAAAAAATAAATATTAAAATTCTCTAAAAAATATATATAAATTAAGGCTGGGGATGTGGCTCAGTGGTTAAGTGCTCCTGGGTTCAATCTCTGGTACAAAAATAAATATATAAATATATGTGTGTGTGTGTGTGTGTGTGTGTGTGTTTGTGTATCTCACACATACACACGTCATCTGGAGCTGCTGGGGTTACAGGTGTGCACCGCTGTGCCTGGCTATAGTAACATTTTGTAATGTTACGTGAGAGCAGATTTGGGGAGGGGAAGAGAGGAGTTTCGGGCATTCTGGGTGCAGCACCATCCAGCTTGGCGGGTGTGTCTGGAGTGGGCACACAGAGGCCTGGGATTTCTACAGCCAAGTTCAGTGCTCAGGTGCAGGCTAGGGCACATCCAGGAGCAYAGAGCTGGGTTTAACCAGGATCTGGTTTTTGTGAGCTGATGGCCACAGAGGATGGGCAAAATAGGGGTATCTTGCAATGGACCATGGGGTGTCAGCTGGCAAGGAGGGTAGGCAGTGAAAGAGCATGAGGTGTGAGGACAGGACTCAGGTGGTAGAAGACTGCTGGGTACAGTCACAGGAATGAGTGATCGAGGGCTGGGACAGGAAGCTCCAGCAATTGAGGGTGACCCCAGAGTACGGCTGGGGAGCTGAGAAGCAAGACCCAGGGAGAAGCAGGTAGGTGCTGGTGGAGTGCCGTAGACAGTAGGCGGGGCTGATGGCCTCGGAGAAGTAAGGAGAGACCAGAGGAAGCACATGACAGACAGCAGGGAGGAGGGAAAGGGGAGACAGGAGTGTGGGGGACGCTGAGTCAGAAAGGCCTCCCCTCAACTGCTGCTCCTTCCCTGGCCTGTGGAGGTAGGTGGTCCTTGGGTTCAGTGCTGGGTCATCTTGCCAGTGGCCCCGCTGAAGCTCAATTGGGAAGGCTGTGGGTAGTGACCCCATGAGGGAAGGAACCCCAGGTGTCCTGATTCCCTGAGCCTTTCAGGTACATGGTGCAGACGCTGAGCCTGCAGTGAGGACTGGGTGGACCAGGTGGCCGGACAGCTGTATGGACAGTAGTTATCACTGCAGAGGCACCTAAGTTCCTGGACAGTCTGGTGTGAAAAATGCAGGGACATTCAGCCAAGACCTCCACTAGTGGGACACCACCACTTCCCTGGGGTGGAGTGAGTGTGGCCTGGTTGTCCCTGGGAGCTGGACCCGTAGCCTGCCTCAGCCAGCTCCCCTGGGACTGGTGTCTCCAGCACACGTGGGTCTGGTGAGATCCAAGAGAGGAGCCTGGAACAGCTGGGCTGTCTTGTCTCTGGGGTGGCTGACCTGAGCTAGCACACACGAAGGCAGAAAGTTCCACAGGTGGCGAGAGAGGGCAAGCCCACAACACAAGTACTTTTCTGTCTTGCTTGTGTTACATGTATTGATATTCCATGGTCAAAGTCTGTCTTAAGGCCAAGTCTAGGTTTCAGAGTTGGAGAAATAGCTGGATGCAGTGGCGCACGCCTGTAATCCCAATGACTCAGGAGGCTGAAGCAGGAGGATTGCAAGTTTGAGGCCAGCTCCAGCAATTTATCGAGGCTGTAAGCAGCTTAGAGAGTCTCTGTCTTAAAATAAAAATAAAAAGTCTGGAGATGTAGCTCAGAGGTAGAGTGTTCCTGGGTTCAACCCCAGTACTCTCCCCCCACCAACAGAGTTAGAGAAAGAGGTCCCTTTCTATGTAGCCACAGCACTTATCACCATCTGCCTCTGACTACAATAATTTGCACTCCTCTCTATTCACTCCCTCCTGAGCTCCCCCAAAGCACCCACTGTAGATCACGGCTGCAGTAGATGGTCCTGTGAGCCCAGCCGGCCAGAGTGTTGGTGAGGCTGCTCAGGGTGGCTCCGTGGAAGCAGCAACCCTTGCTCTGGGGAGCTGTGAACTAAAAGGGCAAGTTGGATGCCTGGACACACTTGACATGGAGTGTTGGGACAGGGACAGAAATGCCATCCAAAGGGTAGGAACAGGCCTCCTGAAGGCCAACAGTTCTTATGCTGACCTCATCCTCTCCAGGGGGTCTGGTTCTGCCCCCCCCCCAACTCCTGCTGGGATGCACTCTAACCATCTGCCACTTCAACAGCTGTGMCACCCTGCGCCCTTGGCTCTGCCTGCTACGGGCTACCTCCTTTGTCATCACAAGTGGCCCGAGCTTGTAGCTGAGTGACTTACTGGATCTTTATGGCAGCCAGGTGCCAGTCAAGAGGTGGCAATGCAGGGGTGTTTAATATAAGGAGTTATTGACCACATTGGGCCATTAGAGAAGCAAGGGACTGGCTTACCAGGAACAAAGTCTACCAGGGATCAAGCTGTGAAGCCCAGCAGCCACCCTGAGGGCTGAGGTGGAGCTCCAGGGAGGGAGCAGGTCCAGAGCAATCCCCACCCTGACCCAGGAACTCAGCCTCCTTGGAAAGGGTGCAGCTGGGGCAAAGCTCACGGGTGCTTGGACAGCAGAACATGCTGGAAGGTGGCCCTCTGCGATGCCAGGTAACCCCTGCCCAGGCAGGTGCTGTGCCAGAGAACTTCCTGCAAAGCCACCTAGGGGAATCCTAGGGAAGTAGGAGTCTGCGTCAGGTGAACCAGAGGTGGGCGGGGGCAGGGGCGGGGGAGGCGCTGGGAATCCCAGGCAGGGCCCCAAAGCTGGGTTTGGAGCCGAGAGCTACAGGTCCTTCCGCATGCACCATCCTGCACATTTTTAACCTTTTGTAGAAATCCACGCCACGGGCAGCACGTCTGTCCTTCCTACAAGGGAAGCCAGGTTCACCTTTCCTCCAAAGTGAGGAGACACGGTCCTAGATCTGCTGTACCCATCGCTGGCTGAGTGGATTCCTCCTCAAGCTGGGCACAGTCCCTGCGATACTCTGTTGCCCCAAGACAGAACCCTAATGTTGACTCCAACTAATGATACAATGAGTGCTCTCCTAAGTAGATAGCTACAGTAACTTACATACACACAGTGCCCACCCCAAGGAGAGGGAGAGGGAAATTGTCGGCTTGTGCTCACAGGGCATGCGTAGAGCAGGTGAAGAAAGCCAAGCCAAGCCACTTGGCCTGTGTCTGCGAGAGGTCTGCAGCCCAGGCTGGACAGGCATGCTTCCTTCTCCATTACCCMTTAGCTTCCTGCTTGGGTAATTCACCCCAGACGTTTCCCACCCTCAGCTCGGACCCCAGCTCTTTGCGATATTTACCTGATGAAACAACCCAAGCCTATATCCCAGAAGCCCTGAGTCCTCAGCTGTCCTGCTCCGCATGGCTGGAGTAGTCTTTGCTCAGCACTTACTCTTCCAACAGTAACATTGAGCAAAGACTCCTTCCTAGGCACAGTCCTCCTTGTGCTGCTCGAGCAG